GCGCCAATCCCCGTCTTGATGGCCCCATGTAAAGGGCCCGTCAGCTGGGAGAGTAGCAGTCTCAGGACGGCTGCCTTGAGACACCTCGAGGCGGGTCAGCACCCTCGGACGGGGATCCCCCTACAGGGCGGGTTCCACTGCGCTCAGTTCCGCTTTGTACTCGAGGCGCTTTGTTTTTTTTCCGCCGCGGCGACCCTCTCGAGTCTCGTGTCCCCCTCCTCCCCCTCCTACCACTCCTCCCCTCCTCCCCCTCCTCCCCTTGTCTGTCTCTCCCCCTCCTCTCCCCACTCCGCATCCGCATCCGCCTCCTGCTGCTGCTCGTTCTCTTCTTCCTCCTCCTCGACCTCCTCCTCCTCCTCCTCCTCCTCCTCCTCCTCCTCCCAGGGAGGAACAGGCTGTTCCTCCTCCTCTTCCTCTTCCTCCCTGTTCCTCTTCCTCCTTCTTCTCCTCCCTCTCTGCTGCTGCTAGTGCTGATCATCTTCCTCATCCTGACAGCACCTTGGTTTTCGTAAGCTCCTGGGAGGTCTAGCGGATAGGGGCTCAATTCGGGTCCAACGGAGACCTCGCCTCCCTGGGCGCTGCCATCTGCGCAATTGTCGTCACTTTCGAGAACTCCTGGGAGGTCTAGCGGAGTGGTGTCCCACGCAGATCCGCATGAGACCTCGCCTCCCCGGGCGTCGCCAGGTGCGCAATTGTCGCCACGTTTTTGAGCTCCTGGGAGGTCCAGCGGAGTGGGGCCTTATCCACTCTCTCAGCGCTGCAACCCCACCAGTGGTCGCCGGCGACAGTTGCGCTGTGCCTGACCCTCATTTCGTTTTTCCGCAGATCGACCCTGTAGACGGTGCGCGGCCTCTTCCACGTCACTCGCAATCAAAAAAGTAACCCCACCAGCCCATCCAGAAACGATGCCCAGAGGAGTTGCCTCGATCAGGGAAGTGGGCAACACGCAGAGGAAGGGTCCCCCAGCGGAGGCCTCTTGGAGCGTCTTGGGGCCCTCCTGGCGGTCGCGGAGGCCTCTTGTAGCGTCTTGGGTACCTCGGGGGGCTTTTTGGGGCCTCTTGGGGGTCTCTTGGAGCCTCTTGGAGGCCTCTTGGAGCCGCCCCGTAACTATTTCGGCTCAAGATTGTTTCGCCCCGTGGCAGCGCACAGAGACCCTTGTTCCAGGGCCAGACCCTTTGGGGGCTCGCATCGGCGCGTGGGGCGTACCGATGGCGGGCGGCGAGGATGCATGGCAGGTCAAGCGTGGCGGAAAGCGTTGGCCCAAGCCGAAACTCGTGTTCGGGAGCGGTCAGGGAGGTGCCGACCTGGCGCCGCGTCGGGTACAAACATCAAGAAGGAACCAGAGTGGACGTGCGGTGCATGTGGCACTGGCAGCAACTGGGCCTCGAGGGCGTGGTGTCGCAAGGGTGGGGCGACCAGGCAAGGTGGGGGAAAGCGCGGGAATGGCAAGGGCCATGGCCAGGCCAACTCGCAGCTGGAGGCCGCCCTCGCTGCCCTTCAGGTCCAGTTCAAGCAGCTCACGTTGGATAACAACAAGCACAAGAAGCAGTTGGCTGCTACGCAGACCTGCGCAGAGGGCGGCGCTCCTCCACCCTGGGCGGCTGAGGCCAACGGTGAGGGCAAATCGGAACTCGAGCGACTCACCGAAGAGGAGAAGCGGTTGGAGGGGGTGTTCTTCGACGGCACCAAGCCCGACTGGCTGCAGGAGGAGCTCGCCCAGTACGACAAGAAGATTGACGCGGCGCGGGAGGCTCGTGACAGGGCCAAACCGCTGTCCGTGCAGTTGCGCGACGCCAGCTGCCAGTCCGCGAAGGCCACCGAACAGCGGGTGGCGGCCGAGGCGGAGGTGCAGAAGGCGCGTGACGTCCTGGCGAAGGCTTTGGAGAGGGAGACGGCCGCCAAGCAGCGAGAGACGGAGGCCAGGGCCCACGAGCTGGAGATCCAGGCCGGGGTCGCAGCCGAGAGGCCCAAGTCGCCCGTCGCGGACATGGACGTCCATCGTGCGGCTCTCGAGGGACTGGCAGAGCAGGCTGGCGCCTCCCTCGAGGCGCTTGGCCTTGCCTCGGGCCTCGCGCAGCTCGGCGAGCGGGTGGCTGCGGCCACTCCTTCTGCTCCTGTTGCTGGCGGGCCAGCCAGGTCAAGGGGCGGCGGCCCGCCAGCGGCCGCAGGACCGTGCGGTGCAGGAGATGCAGACGGAGGCATGGCAGTTGGCCAAGTAGCGTGACCAGGCGACGTCGCAGAGGAAAAGCCTTGCTGCTGGGCAAGGCCGACGTGCCCGACAAGGACTAGCAGCCCGAGAAACACAAACGGTACTTGGAGGTGCTCCAGGTCCATCACGCCTACAACCTTAAGCGCCAGGGGTGTGGGTAGCGGCCTGGTGTGCTTGTACTTGGTGCTCAACGGAGCAGCCTTCGGCATGCCCTTGTCGCTGCTGCGGGCAGGGGTTGTGCAGTACCTGCGCAGCCAGAGCAAGGTTCCCGCTTGGGCAGGTGAGGACTGGAGCCCCGATGGGGTGGTGCGCGCAGCTTGGGGGGGGCGGTGCCGGGCAGGCTGGTGCTTCTGGCCAGGTCCCTGCGGGGGCGTCTGGGCCTGCGGGTAGCGGGCAGGGCGCGGCGGCGGCGCCAGCGGCTCCACCTAGCCCCTCGCCTCAGGGTCTCTTCGGAGATGGCCTGGGGGAGTTGGGGGGGCTGCGTTGGTGTGGGCCGCGGCGCGTGTGCGATCTGCGCGGCTGCTCCGTCGCTGTCGGCTGCGCGGGGTATGCGGCGGCATCTCGGGAACCGAGTGCCACCTGGTAGTGCGCTGCCTGATGGCGATGAGGACGACCAGGTGCAGGGCGGTGAGGGCACGCGAGGCTACGCCAAGGCGCTGATGCGCAGGCAGCAGCGCGCCGTCCTCTCCCCGCCAGCGCAGAAGGTGCCTCGGAGGAAGCTGCTCGCCCCATGGACCATCAACTGGTCAAGTCGGGGCACGATCGAGGAGAGGCTGCTGGGGCCTGTGCTGTGCAGGAGCACCGCCTGATGGGCGACAGGTGGGCAGGCGTCGCCCTCGGCATGGAGGCGCAGGGGCATCAGTTGGGCGGCGCCTCCGCGGTGGCCGCGGTTGGACAGAGTTGGGGGTCAAGTACTTCAGCGGGGGTGGCGGTTGCGGCGCCCAAGGATGTTGGCGTGTCCTTCGTCGTGGGTCAGAAGACGTGGGATGTCTCGCCAAGGGGCAGTCCTGGGCGCGCAGCGGCTGCCTGGCCTGACGTGGGCCGTGGTGGTCTCGCTGTGGCGTCGGTCTACCTGTGGCCGGCGGAGGGCATGCCTGATCGCAGTAAGTGTTTCCTGGAGCGCGTCATAAGGTACCTCGATGGTTTGGCCGTGCCGTGGGTCGGTCATCTGTGGCGGTTTCCAGAATGGCCCATGAAAGCTCGCGGAGGTGGATGCGATCAAGCTCGCTAAGGTGGTGCTGGTGGTGCCATCCGCGGTGGTGGGTGCGCTTTGTGCGACGTGGGTCAGCGCGACCCCGGCGACGACTTCCTTGTCTCGGAGTCTTTTGGGGGCCAGGTCGCGAAGGTGGTGCAGGAGGCGTGGCCGTCTGCGCTGCGCAAGCCTGTAGGGCTTGCTCTGGGCGTTCGCCCGCGCGGGCGCTGGGCGCGCGCGCTCAGCAGGCCCGGGCCTCTGGGCGACGTTCCGATTGGATGCGCGCCTGAGCCGCCCAGCCACGCACCAGTGTCCACAACGCAGGAAGCGGCCGTGCAGGTGTGGAGTCAATGCGCGCGCACATTGGAGCAGGAGGCGTTTGGTCTACGTGGTATGGTTTGGGCTGATTCCCACGTGCAGGGAGGACTAGCATAGTTGCCGCAGTGGAGGTTGGGCGGGTTTGCCCAAGGGCGTTCCAACCAGCCCATGGCCCATGCCGCAGCGGGTTGCCTTATGGTGGCGATGGCTGGCGCGCTCCCTGCGCAACCTGGCGGGGGGCTTGCGGCAGGCTCTTCTCGGAGTCGAAGAACGCTGCGCCCTTGGTCAGGGGGTGCAAGGAGACGTTCGCCTTGGAGTAGCAGTTCGAGGGGCAGACCTCGAGCGTGAAAGTCCTCGGCGATGTGGATCGCAAGGTCTGAGGCGAGCGGTGCCAGGCGGTGGCGCGGGGTGCTTGGCGTAAGCCTGCCCTGCGGAAGGATTTCCAGAAGCAGGTCGAGGAGGCGCAGGCGCGCCCCAAGCGCTGCGACCAGGACTTGGTCAAGGAGCGACGACAAAAGTGGGCGGACAAGCTGGGGGCAGCGGCGTCAGGTGCAGGTGGAGGGCTCGTTGAGTAAACCCGTGGGGATGTGGCGTCCGCGGCGGGCAGCCGCAGTGCAGGCGTCGGCAGATCCACTTCAGGCAGCTGGGGCAGCGCTTGGTGAATGGAGGCGCGTGTGGCGCGTGGACTCGCGGGAGTGCGATGCCCGCGTGGAGTTGGGCGGCTTCCAGGAGCCAGACCTCAACAGGTTGAAGAAGGTAGCCAGGTACTTCAAGAAGAAGACATGGATAGGCGTGGGTCGCTGGCATCCTTCTACGTTGCAGAGGGCCTCTGGCCCCGCGTGCTGGGGGTCCCTGGATATCCCCAGGGAGGTGGAGCGTGCGCTTGTGTGGCCGAAGCACGCGGCCACGGTCATCTCCTTGTTGGTCCCGAAGAGCGTGGAGGTCGACCGCGCGATTGGCCTGCTGCCCGCGTTGGTCCGCGTGCGATGGGGATCATGCGGGGGCCGCGCCTCCTTGCCTGGACCGAGGTAAAACAGCGCTCGTGGGGCTGCGCGTCGCATGGCAGAACAGCGGAGGACGCGGCCTGGGAGGTGCTGTTTGCTCATGAAGCGGATGATCCAGGAGAGGTGGGCCCCGCGGTCATGGCCGCGATGGCGGCCATCTGGGATTTTCGTCGAGGCTTTCGAGCGCGTTAGTTTGCATGTCCTGTCGGGCGGGGCAAGCCGTTGAAGTTCCGCGCGGGGTCTTGGTGGTAGTGTGCTCCTACTTCGCGATGGCCAGGCGCGTCGTAGCTGGGGGGTCGGCGTCCACGGAGACGTGCGCGGTGGCCGCCGCCATCGCGGGCAGTAAGTTCTCTGTCGTCTTCCTGAAGATGGCCATCCAGGGTGCAGTGGACACGCTGGTCGTGGAGCACTCGCTGGCCACGTGGCGTATGCATGTCGACGATCTGTGTGTCAAGCAGCGGGGTGAGCAGCAGTGGGCGGCGGATGTCTTCCCCGGCGTGGTCGACGACAGCATGGTCGGTTTCGCGGGCTTGGGTTTGGAGTTCTCGGTGGGCGAGTAGGGCGAGGGCGCGGTCATGGCCAGCGCCAAGTGGCTCCGTGAGGCCGTGCGTGCCGGCATGGGCGAGCGTGGATTGCCCGTGGTGCGTGCGCGCCCTTGCCCGGGCGTGGACACGGTCGTGGCGGGCACGGTGGCCAAGGCCATGGGTGGCAAGCGGTTCAGCAAGATGAGGAAGCGCGCCACCAGGCCCCTCGACCTGCGCCGAGGTGGACGGGCTATGTCGAGAGGCTCGGGGCTGGTCTACGAGTGTGGGCTCAAGCGTTCGGTGTTGCATGGGTGCAAGAGCCTGGGCGTGCCGGATCATCAACTCCAGCTACTAAGGCGTGCCGTGGGAAAGATGTTGTCAGGATCGCGAGGAGCAAAGAGCTTGACCTTGCAGCTCGCCCTGGCGAAGGAGGAGCCCACCTTCGAGGCCGCTGAGGCCCGTGTCCCGCGGTGGGCTCGCGCGGCGTGGGAGATCGCGGTGGCGGACGAGCTGGGGCGCGCAGCGGCTCGCGACGCGGCGGGGGGCTCGACGGCGCAGTTCATGGGCCTCCCGCCAGATCAGCTCACGGAGGAGCTAGAGGAGGTGGCGGCTGAGCGCCAGGACTTGGGTGAGACCTTGTGCCTCTGGTCGTCGCTCTGGATCCAGAACTTGCGCGGCGCGGAGTTTCAGGGCATCGATGCCTGGCTCGAATGGTGCGTCCCGTTCGCGGCGCAGCAACTGTCTTTACCGACGCGACAGCCTTTTGCAAGCAGCTTTGCAGGGGCGTTTTCGTGTGCATTGTGGCGTCCAGGATGGGCTGCAGCTGAAGGTGCACCAGGTCGCTGTGGCGCTGTGTAGGGAGTCGTGGGCGCGATCGGTGTGGCGGAGGCGGGCCTGGTTGCGCCATCTCGACGGCCTGGACGACGATGAGCTCATCGGCATGGTGGAGCACCGCTGGCGCGAGCTGCGCGGCCAGCGCCGACGGCCCAGGCGGATGCTCGGGAGCGCGGTCCCACCGCCAGCGCAGGGCGACGAGCTCGGAGCGGGGCCTCAGGACTTCGACTGTGTGTACGACGACGTCGGTGACGCTGTCAGCTTCCTCCAGCGCGTCGTGGTGATCAGAAGTCAGCGCTGTATCAGTGATGCTGAGGTCAGCGGTCGTCGGCGGGACGGCAGCGAGAAGGAGGTGGTGCGGCGACAGTTGCAGGAAGCCTGGGGGGGGGGGGGGCAGCAGGTGATGGTGGGCATGTAACCGAGGTGGTGTCGCGTGAGCCGCCCAGCGGGTGCGGCCATCATGTCCTTGAGGAGAGCGGAGTGGACGTGGCCAAACTTGGGCGCTCTCCTCACGCGCGAGGGGGGGGGTGTGACATGGCCGAAGCCTGCCCTTCGGATGTGGCTGCCCTGGTGCGGGCTGACGTGCAAGCGGTGTTGTGGCGGGGTTGGACGGGGCATGAGGAGTACCATTCGCTAGCGCCAGCACTTTTGTTACAGCCAGTGGTGGCGCAGATGGCGGCGAGGGGCTTTCCCAAGCATGCCGAGAACGCGGCGCGCAAGGTGGTGTTGTGTGACTCGTGGGCGATGAGCAGGCTCGCGGGGTGCATCACCACGCCCATTGACATCTGCATGGGCCGTGGCGAGGCAGTGGGCACGCCGCATCACAGGTACTGCAGGAGCCCTCGCCTGTATGATGTTCGGCTACGAGGGCAGCCGGAGTGGCAGCGCATCGCGGAGCAGCAGGAGGACCACCTGGTGTGGACGCGAGGGCTGGTGCGTAGCCCCTCGGCTGGTTGGCAGTTCCAAGCGGTGGGCGAGGACCAGTGCCGCTGCGCGGAGTTGTGGGCCTTCCTCAGGGTGCTGGAGGTGGTGCTGCCGCCGCGCAGGATCTACACGAACCACAAAAGGTATCTTGGACGGGCATGCGCGCGTGGCGAGGTGGTGCCTCAGCTGGAAGCGACCGCATGCCGACATGTGGCGGCGGATATGTCACGAGCTGGCGGACATCGGCCTGGGGCTCGATGAGGTGCAGCACGTGAAGGCGCACCGCGCCAAGCAGGCAATGGGGCAGCTGGACAGGCTGTAGAAGCAGGTTGTGCATGTCAGCAAGGCGGTGGACTTGTTGGCCAAGCGAGCCGCGGGGGACTATGGCATCGGCAAGCAGGAAGCGCTTTCGTCGCTGGGGGGGGGCGCGTGCGGTGGGCTATCCTGAACATGGGCTGGTGGCGCCGGGGGTTGAAGGGGGGGTGGCCTGATGTCCCGCCGCGGCCGCCTGGCGCGCGACAGTGGCGGTTGCCGAAGCCGCAGATCTCCCTGACCTTGCGCGAGGTGGAGCAGTGCGGTCGCCGGCAGGTGTGCGTTCGCTGTGGCAAGAGTGCGGCCACGGCGCGCATGCGCAAGAAGCTGTGGGGGGCAGAGTGCCGACCGCCGCCGTGGCGCGTGGTTGGGCCGACGGCGTCAAGTGCCCAGGTGGGCTCGCTGGGGGTTCGAGGGAGCCAGGCGCGATGGGGCAGTGCAGCAGGCCCACTTCGCCAGGTCAGTGGCTCCGCGCGGTGCGCTTTCGGCCAGGGCAGCGGCGGCTGCGGCGGTCGCTGCAGCGGCGGCGGCGGGCAGCAGCAGCGGTGGAGGCCCGAGCGTGGAGGGCGGCAGCAGGAGGAGGTCCCTCTCGCCAAGGGCCAGGGGCGGCGGCGCCGTGGAGGCGCCTGTGCCGGCAGCGTCACCGCCCGCGCAGCCTGATGAGAGGAGGCAGCACGTCGTGCAGGTCTGTGGGCCATATGTGGTCTGCCGAGCGTGGGTGGCGGGCATGCGTCTCTGAGGCGCGACGGTTTGAGCAGGGGGTGCGCGGGGCCCATGCCGAAGAGGAGGGTGAGCGCAGGGGCTGATGCGAAGCGGAAGCGCCTGGTCCGGCTCGTCCGTGGACAACGCCCGCAGACGGGGGCTCCATTTCCGGCTGTGCTGGAACCGGTGCAGCGCGGATGTGGAGCACGTCGCTGAGGTCGTGAAGGTGGCGGCCTGCGCGTGGGAGTTCTATTGGTAGAACGGCGTGGGCTGAGCGCCGCGTGGCCGACGCGGCGTGGGGGGCCGCCGTTGGGGCCCAGCGGGCCTTCTGAGGGAGCGAAACAAAAAACGGCTTCTTGGAGCCGTCTGGGCGCCTCCTGGGGCCCTCTTGGGGCGCTCTTGGGAGCTTTTGGAGCGCTCTTCGGGCCATCTTGGAGGCCATCGATCGAACGAGAGGGGAGCTCCAATTGGCGCCCCCCAGGAGCCCCAACAATCGCCTCTTGGGGCGCTCTCGGGGCGCCCTTGTAGCGCTCTTGGGGCCGTCTTGGGGCTCTCTTGCCCCCCCTCCCCCCCTGGGGCCCTGTTGGCCCATCTTGAAGCCTCGGATGGCCATCGGAGGCGAAAAAGCGAGAACTCAAACCAGATTCTTAGGCTTACGCCACACCGCCGACCCCTTGTTTATGCCAATCTGGGGGTAGTAGAAGCTGCGAAGGGGTGAAAAGGCGAGTGATATTTGTTTGGTGTCTGTTCGCCGCCACCGCCAGAGGGTCTCGGGCAGTTCCGCGGGGGGGTCCGAGCGGACGGCGACACCGCGAGTTTTGGAGCCACTTGGGGGCCGTTTCGGAGCCTCTGGGGTGCTTCTTGGGGGTTCCTTGGGGCGTCTGGGCGGCCTCGTGAGGGCCTCTGGGGGCCTCTTGGGGCACTCTTGGGGCCCCCTGGGGCTCCTGGGGGCAGAAAGCTAGAGTTTCAACATGTTTGGTCGCCCTCTTGGGCCCCTCTTGGTGCCGTCTTGGAGCCCTCTTGGGCCGTCTTGGGGACCTCTTGGGCCGTGTTGGGGCCGTCTTGGGCCGTCTGGAGGCCGTCTTGGGGGCCTCTTGGGCCATCTTGGGGCTGTCTTTGGGGCCTCTTTGGCCGTCTTGGAGCGTCGGGAAGCCGAAAAGGCGGAAAAGCAAAAAACATCGAAAAACACTATGGAAAATCAACAATTTTAGACTCTTGGGGCCCTCTTGGGAGGCTTGTTTGGGACCTCGGGGGCCGTCTTGGAGACCTCTTGGCCCGTCTTGGGGCCATCTTGGGCGTCTTGGAGCGGTCGTTTGGCGTCTCGGGGCCTTCGTGGGCCGTCTTGGAGGCCTCTTGGGGGCTTCTTGGCCCGTCTTGAGGCCCTCTTGGGCCCGGAAAAGCCCCGTGAACCGCTCGTCCCGGCCGTGCTGCGCTCGTGCCGGACCCCCCCCCCTCCAAATCGACCGGACCGGGCTCCCGGGGGAGGGGTTTGGGGAGGGGGGAGCATCTCACACGCCGATGATCCCCAAGGGGTCGGCGGATTTTTCAGGTTTTGGTAGGGGGTTGGCCTCTTCGGGGCTTCCTGGGAGCTCTTTGGCCACTGGGAGCCGTCTTGGAACTTTCTTGGGGCATCTTGGAGCACCTTGGAAGCCACCTTGAAGCATCTTGCGCTATCATGATCCATCTTGGAAGCCATTTTGGGTTCTCTGAGGCCTTCTTGGGACCGTCTTTGGGCTCTCTTGCCCCCCCCCCCCTCCCCCCCCCTGGGGCCCTGTTGGCCCATCTTGAGCCTCGGATGGCCATGGGAGGCGAAAAAGCGATAACTCAAAACACATTTCTCAGGTTTTGGTAGGAGGTTGGCCTCTTCGGGGCTTCCTGGGAGCTCTTTGGCCACTCGGAGCCGTCTTGGAACTTTCTTGGGGCATCTTGGAACATCTTGGAAGCCATCTTGAAGCATCTTGCGCTATCATGATCCCTCTTGGAAGCCATTTTGGGCTCCCTGAGGCCCTCTTGGGAGCCGTCCTGGGCCATGTTGGACGCCCCGACCGCTCGCGAACCCCCCCGTCCAGGTCCAGGGGAGGGGGTGGGGGGAGGGGTCAAGACGCCCTCCCCGCCCGCACGCCGTCTCGCTCACTCCCACCCGCCCTCCCAACACATTCGTAGCGCCCGAGCCTGGCCCGAGCCGCGGCATGTGCAGCAGTCGTCTTTGGATGGGCAGCTACTGGGGGCGCATCCCGCCGCCGCCGCCGCCGCGCCGCCGCCGCTGCCGCCGCCGCCGCTGCCCGCCGCCGCCGCCGCCACCGCGCCGCCCGCCGCCGCCGCCGCCGCCGCCGCCGTCGCCGCCGCCGCCCCCGCGGCCGAATCGCCGCCGCCGCAGCTGCTGCCGCCGCAGCCGCTGCCGCCACCGCTGCCGCCGCCGCCGCCGCCACCGCCGCCGCCGCCGCCGCCGCCCCGCCGCCGCCCCCCGCACAGCCGCCGGCACCGCGCGCCGCCGCAGCCGCTGCCCCCGCGCAGCCGCCGCCGCCGCCGCCGCGCCGCCGCTGCCGCCAAGTGTGCTCTGTACTGTTTTTTGACAGGGATGGTGGGGAGAGGCCGCATCGGGTTCGCTGCGCATGCTCCGAATTTGGAGGCAGAGTTTTTTTTTTTGTTTTTTTTTTTTTGGGGGGGGGGGGGTTGTCAAGGGATGGTGGGGGGGGGCCTGCATTGACCCTGGTTGGATCCCAGTCGCCTGCGGGAGGGGGTGTATATTACTAGGGGACAGTGACGTAGCACCCCGCAATTGCGGATAAGAGTAAGGGTGCGGGTGCGGGCGACGCGGGTGTCGTCGAGCCGGCGGACCTCGTGGCCCCCACCTTCCCTGTCGATGGCGCTCTCCTCCTCCTCCTCCTCCTCCTCCTCCTCCTCCTCTCCTCTTCCTCGTCCTCGTCCTCGTCCTCATCGTCATCGTCATCCTCCTCCTCCACCTCGTCTTCCTCCTCTTCTTCCTCGTCCTCCCTCTCCCCCCCTCGTCCTTCCATCATCGTCCTCCCATTGTCGTCCTCCCCCTCATCGGCCTCCATCATCGTCCTCCCATTGTCGTCCATCATCATCCTCCTCCCCCTCCTCCCCCTCTCCCCTCCTCCTCCTCCTCCTCCTCCCCCTCCTCCCACTCCTTCCCCTCGTCGTCCTCCTGCTCCTCCTCTTCTTTTTTTCCCACATTCTCCTCACATCCTCTCTTCTTCCGCGTTCTCCTCGTCCCCTGTTTACTCCTCCTGCCTCCCCCTCCTTTCCCACTGTAATGGCAGCGCGCTCGTTTTTCCCACTTTATGCTCACCGGCTTCTCTGATCAAGGCAATTCGCCAGGGCAAACTTG